TACAGAACAGTACAGTGGTCCCTCGATTAACTATCACAAATGGTTCCACAGAGTCTTTCGTTAACTGAATCTATTATTTCAATGGGATATTGGGTAATTGGTTCCAACTCACAGAAAAAGTGCAAACAAAGTACTGTATACCAGTAATAGAATTAACAAAACATTAAATATAAACTAAATACAGTACTGTACTGTACAGTACAATGTATACTGTACAATAATAAATAAAAAACAATAGAATACTGTATTTTAACTTACTTTGAGGTGTGTATGTCGTATTACCGGCAGCTTTGTTTACATATCAAACAGCTGATTGTAGAGGCAGTCGATGATGACATGCCATATTCTTTACAGAGTGCATTGGTTCTAATGCCTTCTTCATGTTTCATAATAATTTCTGCACTGTATATTATCAATATGTGAACTAAATTTCAGAATGACCAATAACTTTAATGTAAAAATTAAAAAAACATTCAAGAGACCAACAAACTGGATGCTCACTCCACTGTTAACAAAGTTAAACTGAGAAGCGCTGGTGGGTGATTCAATCAGCTGATTGGCACACAAAAACTGTACCCTGTACTGTATATATTATCAATATGTTAACTAAATTAGAATGACCAATAATTTTAATATAAAAAATTCAAAAATATTCAAAAGCACAACTTTCTTGATATTTACTCCATAGGAAACAAATGTAAACATAGAACCAATTACTGTATTGGCGGACTAGCCGATCAGCTGATGCGCACAACAAAGTGTGTTTCTCCTAAGGCTGTCGTTAATCAAAGTTTTGTTAGTTAATGGAATTGAAAATCCTTATGGGAGCTAATTCATGAACAGAAATTTCGTTAATTGGACCATTCGTTAATCGAGGGACCACTGTACTGTAGTAGGAAAGGATGCATTACAGGTTGACAATCCCTTATCCGAAATCCTTGGGGCCAGAGGCATTTCGGATTTCGGAATTTTTTGGTTTTCAGAATGGTAATTTTTTTTTTTCTATAAGCCCACCCAGCCATAGATCACTGACCCACATCGGGGCCTGGGGAGGGGGGGGCGAAAATATTATATTTATAATAATAATAATAATAATAATAATAATAATAATAATAATAATGTAATAATAATTCATAGGTCTAGGTCACATTTCTCACTTTTGATCTTTTTTTTCATTCTTGTATTTCTTTATTATTATTATTATTTTATTACAGTATTATTGTTATTATTATTATTATTAATTTTATTATTATATTTTATTATTACTATTATTATTATTGTTATCATTATTATTTTATTTTGGTGTACAGTATTTTAATTAAAATTCTTATTTACTATGGATAATTATTATTATTATAATTATTATTACTATTACATTTTCGCCCATCAGGCCCCGATGTGAGTCAGTGATTTATGCCCAGGTGGGCTAATCCCTGTTTAAAAAAAAAAAAAAAAAAAAAAAAAATTGCCCCACAAAATAACTTTCGGTTTTTAAAGCTTTTCGGTTTTCGGAATTTCGGTTAAAGGGTTTTCAACCAGTATTAGCTTCTTGGAAGATTTTGTTATGAAGGAATGAAATTGATAACTGGGTTTTATAGGTCAAACATTGTACAGTACAGTGAGTTCTGCTATAACGCGTGTTTTGATAACGCGAATTTGCTGTAACGCGATTTATGAATAGAGGAACGATATTTATATAACGCAAACGCTTGTTTGCTATAACGCGATTTTTGCTTACTATTTATCCAATTTTGTGGTATTAACTATGAATACCGTATGGTAAAGAAGAATATCTCCAAGAAGCGTTCTGGTGATAGAATTCCCGATGATGATCGTAAAAGAAAGGCTATAACCCTTAAAGAGAAGCTCGATTTTATCAACCTCAAAATCACCCTTCTCCCCCATCAAGTTACATTCATATTTTTTCAAGGTAAAGTGTTACATTTACTGTATGATTTCATTATTAGATATGAATGTAACATTTATTTAGACTGTGCTATCCTTTGTGTTAGGCTAACTACTAAATTTTTTCGATTTTGAGTAATCTGCACCTAACCCTATTTTCTCCATAAGCCCTGTTATTTCTATTACGCGATTTTCTATAACACGATATTTTACAAGAACACAATTATCGCGTTATAGCAGAACTACCTGTTTGCAGGACAAAGATTGAGGGAATAAGACTATTCCATTGGTATAAGAGTAAAGTCCTAGACAGTATGTTAATGAAGAAATCTTGATAATGAAATCAAGAAAATTATTTGCATGACAGACACATCTCAGAAACAACATCCAAAAGGCTGTCTGATTTTTAATTTGGTCTCCAATCTCCATTAGTATAATAGTTATCATTTCAGGCTTTGGAATCATGATCACGAGTCCCATACAGGTATTAACATAACACAGTACAGCTAGACCCCGACTTACGACGGGGTTAGGGACCCAAATCCAGGTCGTAAGTCCGAATGGTCGTAAGTCCGACATAGATAAAAAATAAATAAATAAAAAATCTACAATGAAATACAGTACAGTAAAAGTAATAAATAATGAGGAATGGATACAGTACAGTGAAAGTAATAAATAATGAGGAATGGATACAGTGTGACTGAGCACTTACCTTTAATGTAGTCAGCTGAATGCACATGGGGCCCCCATAATTTTCTAATTATACATGGCGACTACATTAACTGGAAACGTTTCGGTATAGAAAATGCGTGCGTCATTTGAAAAAAAAAAAAAAAAAATTGAAAAAATACAAATAGTCACAACTGCGGCGGTCGTAAGTCCCGACGGTCGTAAGTCCAAGCAGTCGTAAGTTGGGGACTACCTGTATACTGTATACAATACAGTATGTTGTATTATATTGTGATGTTTACCAGTGTGTGTTATTTATCACTTTGATGACAAGATAAATGTTCTTTAATTAAGAATTGTATAAAGGTAATATTTCTGTTCTGTTAATGATAAAAGTTGACATAAAGATAATTTTGAATCTCTTTGTTCACCAGGTTTTTATTAAAGAACTAAGAAATTTATAATAAGTGTATTATACGCATACTCTATACTTTTAATGCCCTGCAAGTTGAGTTTGAAAGATTGTTTTAACAGTTTATGTGTAATACTTTAAGAAAAAAGATAACATCATCTGATAATGTGTTCATGGGTCTCCTTATGGTACATCATATGACTAGTAAATATATATTAATCATCTGTTTTATTTTCACTTTATGATTTTTATAAAATGTGCAGTAAGGAAGGCTTTCATTTGATCCACTTTTATAATTTTAAATCATCTACTGTATATTGTTGGTAATACTGTAATGGATGTTTCATAGTCTCCCATACTGATGTATATGTCACTACTGTACCATTAGCTCATCTTCTAGCTACTCTAAAGTCTTATTCATTACAGTATTTATGTCTGAAGTTTTTTTTTATACTTCTGAAGAATAGTTTAGGATTTACTCTTAGATATTGTTTTTCTATTTTTTATTGTTTTTTCTTTGTAAGTGGTCATAAACTTTCAAGTAACACATTTTCAATCGTTTATATACTACTGTAGCAATGAGGTACTGTATGTGGCAGATGACTGGATACAGTACTTGCCTCCTTACCTAAGGGTGACTGGTTGTCACCTGAAACACCCCTAGTCCACAGTAGCTGAGAAAGGATATCTAACTACAGTTGAGGAAGTGATGGCACTCAGGTGTTGTTCCAGCCACACTATTTCCCTGTATACAGAAGACATAGTATTCAGTGTGCTGTATCCATGCTGCCCTTAATAGGCAGCATGATTGTTATTGAAATTGAAAATAAATAAAATATAAAAATAATAAATAAATAAATAAATTAATTCAAAATAATTTTGTTACAGCAAAATTAGAAATATCATAATGCAATGCAAAACCCTGCATCCTGAAACCAACAATGTCCTCTAAAATCTATATACTACAGTACTCTATAATAATATAATTAATTACTGTAATGTCATCAGTAATACAGTCTTACTTGATACAGTATTGTGTCAATTCTTACAGTAAGGAAGAAAATAAAATGTTTACTTGAAGTTGAATAATGTTTTGCAGTGTACAATACAGTGTAAGGTGATTCCAGATGAGAATGACTCTGGTGTCTTTGATGTTCCATGAGGGGGGGTACACTGGTCCAGTAGCATCTCTTGGCCCCATGGGTGTGAGAGGAAAACTTAGCTTCTAATTTTGCCCTCTCTTGACATGTGCAAGGACAGGAGAGTGAGAGAATACAGCTGCCTTATTTCATCATCAGTGCTTTACTACCATTTTCAAGGGATAGTTATGGGTGATACTCAACAGGTCATGTTATAACTAGAACAGGTGTCTTACTGAATAGGAAGGAACTCTAGGTGCTACCTTGCCAGGTTTCTTCAGTGGAACATTAGATTGTCTGTTCGTCTCTGATTTGGGAAGTTTGCTTAGTTTTCAGGAAATTTTATTACTATATTTCCCTCAAGAATTATGTGTCCTGCAGGCAGTGCAAAAGGGCTTTAGGGTGACAGTTTCTGCAACTCACTTGAGAATATTCATAGATATTCTCTACATGGTTAGCTATTCTGAGACTATTTCAATCTGTCTGAATGAGTTTTATGGAAAATTTGGCTCCAAATCAAAAACCAGTTGTTATCATCGGTTTCTTGGATACATCCTAGTACAGCAGGATGCAGTGTCTATTCCTTGGAAACATCTGAGAGTAACAAAAATTAATCTCTGACTCCAGAGGTGTTGTACATTAAATTGAATTTGTCAGTGCCTCACCAAGTTCTTAGTTACTGTACATGAACATTTGCTCCAAGGCAGGAGTACAGTACTGTAGTGCTGTTTGTTGATTTTTACTGAAAACACATTTGTGGAATGTATAAAGAAACAAGGTTCCTTGAAGTCCTTTTCTTTTGAATAACTTCTAGGGAACTACCCCTTATCATGTCCAGAATCTCCTGTTCAAAGGCAACCTTGTATAATGCAAGCATGTTATATGTCAAGGCAGAGACTTTGCATGGGGCTTGGAAAGTAGTGCTCAGGGAGCCTACAATTTATGATATGGTGGGTCCCTAAGTTTTTGGTGCTCTTATTGTTCTTTTTTACCCTTATTTCTTGAGATACCGTTGCCCATTTTGCCCCCTGATGCCTTAGTCTTTGGAACCTCTGACTATCCTAGCCTCTTAGGTCGTTTTTGTCGTTTTTGTCCCCTTGGTCATCCTGGCCTCTAAGACTCTTTTTTCCCTTTTCTCTCATGGCCTCTAAACCACCCCCCTTTTTTTGTCTCTGGCCATCTTACCCTCTAAGACCCTTTTCTATCCCCTTGGCCATCCTGGTCTCTTAAGCCCTTGCTACCTATCCCAAACCCGATTCTAGGAACTTAAGTTTTGAGGAAATTTGGATTATAACCTTCTGTTGCTTCCAAATCAGGCCAGAAACCCCCTCCCCCTCCCCACTTTGTCTCGAATACATCTACAGACAAATTTTATAAGGCCACTGAGTCCCCTGTTTTAATTTCAATTACTTGGAAACTTGGTAAGGGTGTTATTTTTGGCAAGCTCTTAAATGGCATTGCTTTTTTACATATCAAAGAACTTTTTTGACATTCTATAGTGAACATAACATGGAATATGTCAGACACATTAAAAAAAAAATTACTACATAGTGTACTTGTTATGTACAAGACATTACAGTACTGCTGTAGAAATCAAAAGGTGCAACTTTTTTCAGTTACGTTATTGATGTTTGTTCCAAACACTATACAAGGTAATTAGAGGTCAGTGAAAATTATGTATTGTGGTACAGTAATGTGACAGAGTTTGGATATTTTTATTGATAATTTCTGTAGTGTTGCAACAAATTAGAATTTAATTTAGTAAATTGTATTACACTGCAGCAACAACCATCGATGGATTCTTTTCTTATAGGCTGGTTGGCCCAGAAGCTGGGTGGGCAGCAACTCTACATCGAAGGACAGCAGTGGGTCGGAGCAGCAATTGTCTTCCAAGTATTTCCAGTGTCCTGACTGTGACAAGACATTTGCTACTAAATGGGAATATGAACGTCACCGTCGAACTCACACTGGAGAGAAGCCTTTTGAATGTCCGGTCTGCCCATATCGTGCAACTCAAAAAACCAGCCTTCAGAAGCATCTACGAACACACAGTGGAGAAAAACCCTATGCTTGTCACTTATGTTCTTATAAAGCTTCTCAGAAAGTTCATCTACAGAATCATATTCGTACACATTCCAATAACATGACATTCAACTGCCCACTTTGTCCCTTCCGAAGTAGTCGTTCACACATTCTAAAAGAACATATGCAGATTCACACTGAGAATAAATAATTCATCATTATCTTAAGACGAACGAGGTGGGTTTGTATATTTTTCAACATTTACCAGTCTAATAAAGCATTCTAACAAATACTGTATAGGCATATACAGTACAGTACAGTATAAGTATAAAAATATATAAGTGTTAGGGTAAATTCAAGTGATTAAAAACTACCCCTAAGTGACATGGGAATCTCTTTGTCTTTGTAGGTCTTGCCCGTTGGTGATCAAGGTGGTGAGACTCAACGACGAGCTATAAGGGAGGCTAAGGAGAAGATCTACTCTTGTTCTTATTGCCCCTACCGTGCCTCTCAAAAAGGAAATCTACAAAGACATACCCGTATCCATACTGGAGAGAAGCCATTTGCTTGTTCCTTTTGTTCATTTCGTGCCGCTCAGGATAGTGTGCTAAAGCATCACATTCGCATCCATACTGGAGAAAAACCATTTGAATGCCAGCACTGTTCATATCGCACAGCTAAAGGAGCCAATTTGAAGCGCCACATGTTGACTCACAACGGAGAGAAACCATACTCATGCCCATATTGTCCTCAGTGTTATATAGACAACACCTCCCTTAAACACCACCTCATGCTGGCACATCCTAATACTGATCTTTAATAAACTTGAGAGCAATACTGTACCGTATTCAGAATTTTTCAAAATACTGTACAATACTGTATTAAAATATAAAATTACGATAATGTTTTGTAAGTACAGTAATGAGCACTGACAGTCAATGTCCATGTGGGAAATGTTTTAAAAGTAAAGGCATTGTCTTCCACACTGTGCTGGTGTGTCTGTCTTGTTACACAAAAGGTACAGGATAAATTTACAATAATTTTTATTAATTTTAGTAAGCAAAAGTTTTAGTTAATTGATTCAGAACTTTTTAGTACAGTATTGCCCATTGGTTATATTTAATATTCAGTAAACATTTCAGTAATATTTTCCAGTTAAAGTGTTGAATATTAATTTGAGTTTCATAACTTTCCATTACCGTGTACTGTACTGTACTGTACTGTACTGTATATTATATTTAAATCTTTCTCATTTTACAGAAGGTTAACTAAATAATTTAATGTAATTTTTGGTATCAGTGTAACAAGAAACTGCAATTATTTTTACTAACATGAATGTATCACAAAATAGATTGAATTTTGATTTTTAGTAAGGAGCTTAGGTGCTAACTGAAAAATTATATATCCTGTACAGTGCAGTATATAGTACAGGTTGTACCTCTCTAGTCCGGCATTCTGTGGTCCAGAAACTCCTGTGGTCCGGAACGATTTTAGTTTGTCCAATAGGTAGATAGGCAGCTTTTTTTTTTTTTTTTTTTTTTTTTTTTTTTTTTTTTTTTTTTTTTTTTACTTATCTGAATTATTATTATTATTACAGGAGTATTAAATTTTTGCCCCTCAGGCCCCAATGTGGGTCAGTGACCTATGCCCGGGTGGGCTAATCCCCTTAAAAAAAAGCCGCGGGAAATTAAGGTTTGTTTACATCCGGCAGTTCGGCTGCTCTCTCTCTCTCTCTGCTTGTCTATACAGAGTACAACATTTAACCCTTCAATATATATGAGCAGTAAATAAGTGTTGCTTTCATATTCTTATGTAGAGTAATGACGATATGTTTTCACATGTGCGCACTTACATACGCGCAGTCTCACTTTTTTTTTTACCATTAATGGTTAGCTACTTATATTGTTCCATTTATTAACATTAAATAACATTACAGGTACTTCAAACAACCATATTAATTTTTTTACATTAATTTTACTACAGCTAAAATCAGGGTCTTATTTTCTTCAGTTTTATATGTAGAACCAATCAGTCACTGGTTTTGTAAGCTTTAACATAAACAATGCCGGCAGCCGTCTCGTCTCCTCTAATATTCCACGTATTATTAATAAATTGTATTGTTAATTTTGCACACACAACATTAATTCAATAAAAACAAATTCAGAAACATTAATTAAAATATATATGAACAGTAAATAAGTGTTGCTTTCATATTCTTATGTAAAGTAATGACGATATGTTTTCACATGTGCGCACTTTACATACGCGATCTCTCTTTTTTCTTTACCATTATCGTTAGCTACTTCTATTGTTCCATTTATTAACATTAAATAACATTACTTAAAACAACCATATTAATTTTACTACAGCTACAACCAAGGTCTTATTTTCTTCAGTTTTATATGTAGAACCAGTCAGTCACTGGTTTTGTAATCAACGAAAACAATGCTGTGTCATTTCCTCGTGTGTTTTAATATTCAACGTATTATTAATGAATTGTATTGCTCATTTTGCACACATAAACATTAATTCAATAAAAACGACATTCAATAATAAACAATAATGAATCTTTTGTACATAAGAGAAATGACGCTGTTTACATGATTATGCCCATCGTCTGCACGTTGGCAGGCCGTTCAAACCCGTCGAAATTCAAGTTTCCGCCGTCAAAATTTTTATTTATTTATTTTTTGTGTGTTCCAATAAAATACGTTAAGAATTAAAAACTCGCGAAATTTGAGAAGCTACTATACGACATTTAACCCTTCAAAGAGACCATGATGCAGAGAAAGTGTTGCTAGTGCTTCCAAGCATAAGCACAAGTCACTATCTATCCAGGAAAAGGGTGAATTTCCATGGTCCGGCAATTTCCATGGTCCGGCACTGGTCAGGTCCCGAGGTTGCCGGACTAGAGAGGTACAACCTGTATGTGATAATAAAAATTTTAATATAAGATGGTAAGAAAACTTGATTCAGAGAAGATTTTACAGATACTGTACATGATGAAACAAAATCTTAAATGGAAACTTAATGTTCTGCTTCCGGGATCTAATAAGATCAAGGTTTAATAGTAATGTGGAAGGATATGTCATTAGATCCTTACTGACTGAGGGGTGAAACATGTAGTAGAATGTATGTTGGATGGAGAAATGTAAAGGAAGTTTTACAAGGCCAAGCAAACTATGGTAATCCTATGGACAATGAATAAAGTACTAAATGTTCATAATTCATGGTCATCTGATATTAAATGTTTTAAGAAGAGCTACAGTGTATAGAGACATACGTAGGTACATTATTAGATGTAAGAGAAGATGTTTGTCTTCAAGGGTAAATATTGTAGTTTGAACCTATAACATTCCATTATGGTTTGTCCTCATCTACCTCCCAAGGGCAAGAAAAGACCTTAAAACTGATGAGGTAAGGTGACCCTTGTTACCATTTGTTACCATTGTTAGTAGTAGCACTGCATTACCATTACCTGTACTGTAATGTATTACTATTACCTGTACTGTATTACCATTATTATTAGTAGTATTACCAGGTACAAGAGAATTCCAGTTATCCGGTATCCGGGAAACCAGCAGATTCAACTAACCGGCACCAAAATTAAATACATAAATATAAATTTCTTCCAAAACAAACTAATATCATAAATTTAAATACCGCTTGCAACAGGGATGAGCTGCCATATTTATTGTTATGATAAACAATAAAATCAATGCATAGCATATAAAATGCAATAGCATATATTCTATGCACAAAAAATAGCGACTACCACACTCAAACCATCTTCTGGGTGACGCAACACAGTTCAGGCAGTCAACCAGCTGACTCACAGACATATGGCTGCCACACTAGCAGTTACAGCCCAGTTTGCAGCTGCTGTGCAAGCTGTACGTTAGAACAAGGACAGACTAGCCACTGACTGTGTTAGATTTTTTTGCAATGTAAAATCGTATACAATTTCCATTATACATATATTGTTCCAAATTAAATGATACCATATTTTATTTCAAATAAGGAGAGTATTACTGACGAGTTTTATCATGCTAAAAGGGGTATTTTATTTATAAGACTATTTCCAATGTATTTATTCATATTGTCATTGTTATACAGTAATGATTGTGTCTATTTGAGCATTACCATATTAACTATTTAGTTTTCATAGTACAAGTACCACAGTTTTCAGTGTTGATTGCCCTAATGGCCTCACAGAAAATTTCATCTCTATTTAATTGAAAATCTCCAATGTGCAACACTTTGTTGCACCAATTAATCTGCTACATAGAAGTCTTACTATGTGTGTGTGTGTGTGTGTGTGTGCGCCATACCTCATATTAGAGAACAATACTATTGTCACACAAGTCTAGCAAACACATGAAAAATTATATGTGTTAATATTGAAGGAAGTATTGATTTCTATTCATTATTTGGTATACCATTACTACTACTGGTACTGTACTACCTGAATAAGGATCAATGACTTAAATATTACAAAGTCAATACAGTACTTTACTGTACACTACAGTACTGTACAGGCATTAGTTCTTCAGACAGCCACCAGTCTTGCATTTTGCATTGAAATATATGCATAAGTGCTCCTATATTAGGGATCTTTCAAGTGTTTTATGTACTGTAGGTAGATTATGGTAGATTTTTACATACCATATTGTGTCATTTAGTACAGTAAAATTATTTTGCTTTTGATGCATTAATTTTATTTATTTACCAGGTAATTGTTCCTCAGAGTGCACCAATTACTTGTGCACTTTTCTAAGCAGCTACTTTCCAGTTATACATGTGTAAGAGTGGGAAGTAACAGTACAGGACTACTTTAGATGATATATTAGAATAAAATAGTCATGAAGAGGATTAGCTTTGGATTATGATGATTATATAGACTAGTTTTATGGAATGATAGGTGTCCATTGTACAGTAAATTCATACCAAACTGGGATACTGTACATGAATTAAACCAATAATGATTATAATTAGTATTTCATGTGCTTGGTCTGAATAACATTTTAATATCTAACCATTAAGTTGAAAAATTAAATAGATGCAGTATCCTTAAAAACTTTGTTATCAATATCTTATGAATTTAAATTTTCTTCATGTTTTACCATCTAACATCGCCAAAACTTAGGTCAGATATGACATTACTGTACTTTATTTCACATACTATTGGCAGAATGTTAGTACAGTAGAAAGATTTTAAGAAATTATATTTGTAAAGTTTCACAGTGAACATAACACATAACATAAATTTTAAGCACTGTATACTGGATTTGTAGGCTAAACCTGTACCAATGAATATTTATTGTAAAGTATATTGTGTGTTTTTGGCCTTTTTATTGTAAGTAAATTATTACTGAATGTGCTAAGCATATAATTTATATTAAAGCAAAATTTGCAAGAAAATTTTTTAAGTTTCCACAAACGTTTAAAGACTTTACCGTAACCCAACTCGTTATTATAATGTAACAGTAAGTTCAAAATACTGAGACAACATTATACGGATGTACCTAATACATTCTCACTGTATATCCACTAAA